GAGTTACTTACAATAACAGTTAGCATTCTAGTATCGGAATGACACCGTATGAGGATTTGTATGGTAGAAGGTGTAGGCCTCCTTTGTGTTGATATGATTCAGGTTAGAGTGTTGTGCCCGGACCTGAGAATTATGTAAGAGACGACTGAAAAGATCAAGAAGATCCAAGAAAAGACGTGTTTTGAGAGTTACGGTGGTGACTGGTGTTGGTCGAGCTTTGAAGTCTCGGAAGCTCATACCGTGTTTTGTATATTTGTATCAGAGTGACGCAGCAGAAGCGTGGGAGAAGTAGCATGTTAGATTGTTTTACTGCTGTTGCTTGTGAATTTACATGATGTGGCATGTGCCCAAGTTGAGGAAGTGCATTTATTCGGATGGATGGTGTACAAGTGAGAGATAATTTGACTGTTGAGGCATTGCTAGTTCAGGTTGAGGAACGAGAAGCAACTTCGAGGTAAAGAGATTCCTTTGGTGAAGGTAGTTTGGGAGGACCAACTGGAGAAAGTTGGATTTGGGAGTGGGAGATCAGTTGAGAGAGTCGTATCCGACTCTGATCATTGAGGTAATTTTCAAGGGCGAAGATTCTTTTAAGTGGGGGAGAGTTGTAACACCCCAAGTTTAAGCGGAATATTTTAATTAATTATTTCATTGAGAATATTCGTATTTTGGGTGGTTTTCGGTGGTTTTGTGGATTATTGAGAAAAGGTGCATTTTTGGACTATTTATTTAATTAGTAGTATACTATATGAGAATATTAGTATTATTATTGATTAAAATGAATATAAGTGAAATAAGGGTAAATTGGGAATTATGAAGAGTTAGTAAGGGTGTTACGGTAAAAGCCCAATTGTGTGGCTCAAGTCTAAGTTTGACAAAATAGAATAAGGTTTGGGATTCATTTTGTTAACCGTGAAAAGAATGGAGGCCAGAGCTCCGAGGAGGGATCAGTGGAGGCAAAAGCTTCGAAAGATTGCCGGAGTTAATCGCGTAAACTTTGAATCGGCTAAGGTATGGGGAGTATCACATTTCATGATTTTCTATGTATGCCTTTCGGTGTGTTTATGGTGAAGTTTATGATTTAGGGTATTCTGGGTTGATCGTGGGAAATTAAGGGGAACTGATAATGAAACCTTGGGGGTTGTGGTTAGTGGTTAGTATTCCTGATTGTTTGATGTGTAACATGAGAAAGGAAACCTTAGGCCTTCGTGGCCAAAACCTTGGATTGTGATATGTTTGACCCTGTATGGATAGGAATATTCAAATGGGAGTAACTCTGATGCACTCAGAGCAATTGTAGGAAAATAGTGTTTTAGGCAGTGCAAATGTTGCTGGATTGGCCTAATAAACCACGTATTTGGTGTCGTTATCGCCGTATGACATTGGGGATGTTTTAATGATGTTTTGGGGGAATTGGGTAAGTAAATTGTATGAGTATTTGGACGGAAATCAGTTTTGGTGCGTAGCAGGTTTTGCTGTCATCACTCTGTTCGCCTAGCGAGCAAGCCAGTGAAGGTTCGCTACAGGATCGCCTAGCGAGCAAGCCAGCGAAGGTTCGCTACAGGATCGCCTAGCGAGCAAGCCAGTGAAGGCTCGCTACCAACTCGCCTAGCGAGCGAGCCAGCGAACGTAGCAGAGTTCATGAATACTGATCGTGTGCAGCGATGTCGTGATGTTTGATTCTGGGATTCCTGTGATGAGTTACTATGAGTATGGCAGTGAGGTTGCGTGAGTAATAAGTGATAGTATGAGGATTACCGCGAGTGTAATTATGATGAATTAATATGAGGCAAGATGAGATTATATTAGGGATTAATATGTGAATACTATGTGATGATATGACGAATTAACATGAGTAGAACTGTGGAGTTTATGTGATTGATAGGCGATAGTGTGAGGAGTACCGTGAGTATAATTTGATAAATTAATATGAGATGATATGGGGGTAGTATTATGAATTAATATGCGATAATATGACTATAAGCTAGTATGTGATTTATGCGTGATTATATGATGACATGATGTGTGGGATTAATTAATATGATGAATTATGATGATATGTTGTATGATGATTGATATGATGAATTATGATGATATGTTGTATGATGATTAATATGATGAATTATGATGATATGTTGTATGATGATTAATATTTTGAATTATGATGATATGTTGTATGATGAGTAATATGATGAATTATGATGATGTGTCGTATGATGATTAATATGAGGAATTATGATGTATGATGAATATGATGAATATGATGAATGATGATGCACCATATGTTGTTATTATGAGGATTATTGTGACGTGTGCATCATGCATTAATGTGCATCCGGACTTCGGTTCAGGACCTTGATTACTTTGGCTTCAATCCCACTGTGCGGATGTGAAGTATTTTGATGTGCTCTGATCCTATTGATGGGGATCTATGGAGGGTTGATGACCCAGTGTCCGTCGCGCTGTGATGATTGGTACCACATGCATTGAGTTTTGTCGCATTGCATCTATGAGTCTTTTTGTATGAATTATGACGTTATGGCCTTGGAGGCATATTTGAAGGATATCAATGTGTTGAATATAACTATGAGTAATATGCCATTTATGCATTAATTGTTATACATTGATTATTATGAATTGTTTTACTCACCCTGCCTGTTTGAATGTTACCTCCACGTGGGTAACGTGCAGATGAGCAAGTTTAGTCGTGGACGCCGTCGAGGAGTATTCTGAAGTTTTAGAGTCGTTAGCCTTTATGGTTAATTTAGAGGGTCTTGCTCTGATATGTAACATCGGGTTGGGTTCTTTGAGTTGATTTTATATCATTGGGTTATTTTACTGATGTTCCCTTTTAAGGAGAAACCTTGATTTATGCTTTGAGTTCCGCTGTTTTATGTTGTTTAATGTACTTTAAGGAAAACCCGTCGTTACGGAGTATTGACCAATTTTGTTGACTTTGAGAAATGTACGCCATTTTGTGGCTTTTATGAAAGTTAATATTTTACTCTGAAATCCGTGTTATTTTGTCGTGTCGTAATATCTATGGGGTAGAATAAAGGTGTTACAAATATTACCAATACTAATAATGTTAATATTAATATAATCAATTAATATATAATAATATTAATATAATTTAAATGTTAATATTAATATAATTTTAAAATTAATTTATATTAATTAATATTATTAATAGTAATATATGTTGATAATAATAATTAATATTATTTAGTAAGAGATAATGAAGCTAATATAATTAATATTATTTAATATATAATTTATATTAATTAATATCATTAATTAATATTATTTAATACATGATAATTAATGAAAACACTAACGATTACTTGTTCCCACATTAGGATACCGGTTTCGATTGTGACCCGTTTGACGACACATGGAACATTTTCTCTCAAGCTTATCAAAATTATCCATTTCTGTTCTAATATGTGTGCTCACTGGGCGACCTTTCTTGTTCCTCCGAATTCTTGGGTTATGGCAAATTTGATCTCCTTCATAAACGGACCAATATTCATTGTACGGCAGCACTGGGAAGCTTGTGTTGTAAACCCCAAACAGGTTTGTACCCCTATAAACGTCGGACAAAAGAGCGTAAGCGTCGTGGCGCACATTCGAACATGCAGCGATAACATGTGAGCAAGGGACACGATATGATTGAAACTTTCCGCAGTCATACCATCCGTTTAAGAGGTCGGCCTTATAATGTCCCATAAGTTTCCCCTCACCATGGTCCATTGTCTCCTTCACACTAAAAACATTGTTAGTGTAGTCAAAAATTCTGACTTGATGTGTGCTGGATTTTGTTGTTTCTTGTTTCATCACCTTAAGGTAGTTGTCTGTAAATGTTTGGCCAGAATTCAACACAACACTCCATTTTGCACCCTTTTCAGCAAATAAAGATCCCAGTCTATAATATGTTGCCCTTACCAATGCTGTAATGGGCAAATTACGTGTGCCTTTAAAGACATCATTCAATGACTCAACAAGGTGATGAAGATGAAATAATATGAAAATGTTTGAACATGATGAAAAAATAATGGGAACTACTCATAGTTATAAAGCAAATGATATAATACATTTGGCATTTTTCAGCCTTGCATGCAAGAATATCACACGTTGCATTTGGTCAACAGGAGAATAAATGTGTCGCCCCTTAAATTCGTGGAAATCAGACATAATTAAGGTGTGTCGCCCATTGCTTATGCGGCTGACAGAAAAGGAATAAATGTGCCGCCCATTGATTATGCGGCAGTCAAACACAATAAATGTGTGTCGCCCATTTCATTAACGGAAGTCTGACATAAATTAAATGTGCCACCCATTCAAAGGGCGGCATTCAGACACGTCAAATTTCTGCTCCCATGCATGCAGCCACGTACATCTCAAAATTATTTTTTACCAACATCTATTTAATTCTTACCTACACCAATTTAATTCTTACCTACATTAATCTCCTATAAATACCATATCACTACTATTACAAATTCATCTCAACACCCTACCAATCTTTAAAAAATCTCTACTACCAATCTTAAAAAAATCTCTACTACCACTCTTGAAAAATGGTTTTACTAACCTTAGGAGATGATCATCGCGGTACACTTGCAAACATTGCATCATATGTAAGTTAATCTTATTTATAATGTTTACAATCATATAATATTTATGTTAGTTATTTAAAATCTTATTTAAAATATTTACAATCTTATTTAAAATGTTATAATGTTATTTATCTTACTTAAAATATTTAAGTTGTTAATTGTTAAAATATAAATAACATTATAATATTTATGTTAGTTATTTAAAATCTTATTTAAAATATTTACAATCTTATTTAAAATTTTATAATGTTATTTATCTTATTTAAAATATTATAATTTTATTTATCTTATTTAAGTTGTTACATTCTAATAATGTTATTTAAAATATTTTTTTGTAGGATGAAAAAAATTTCAAACCACGCTCACATAAGTACATAGAGCCTGATGAAATTATCAAACCATATTTGGTTCAAGCGGGTTTCGGTCACGTCATCAAGATCTGCATATGGAATGGATCGCAAATTTCTTCTCGCCTTGTGCGAAAGATGGCGACCAGAAACCCACACATTTCACTTCCCCACAGGTGAATGCACAGTGACCCTGGAGGATATCCATATGTTGTTAGGTCTTCGTGTCGATGGGTTAGCAGTTGTTGGTGACACAAACGTTAAGTATGAATTAGTGGAAGAACTATTGGGTGTGCCTTTGGAACGAGGTGATAGGAAGGGGCAAAGCCTTAAAATTACATGGCTAAAAAGAATTTATGGTGCTTTGAACTTGACCGCGGAGTCTTCCGAGGAACTCAAAATTTATAAAAGTAGAATTTATGTATTATTGCTTTTTGCATGCTTTTTATTTCCTGATACTAATGGTAATACTTTCCATCTTCAATTTTTACCATTATTAGAAGATTTAAGTCAAATAAGTAGATATAGTTGGGGCGCTGCTACCTTAGCGCATCTATACAGAAATTTGTGTAGATGCGCAAGGAAAAATGAGCATAATTTTGTTGGTTGTGGCGTTTTGATTCAAGCTTGGGGATGGTCCAGAATGCCCAGACTGGCGCCGGTAAACCTCAATCCATATCACTTTCCATATGCAACCAAGTAAGTATACAAAGTTTATGTATATATACTTTTCATCTATAATTTTTACTAACTATTTATTTCATAGGTGGTCCGCGTATGGGATGAATTACGAAAAAATCCTGCATCATTGTGCTCCTGGGTATCTGACATTCTTTGATCATTTTGAGGAAGATGATGTATTGTTTCTAACACTTATACTACTATCACTTTCCATTTTTTAAACTCTAATCCATTTTTAACTATATTATAGTTTCTATGGAGGCCCTATCTTGAACTTGAAGATGAGGATCCAACTGAAAGCGACATGTGAAGTTATACAACATTCATATTTTGTTTCACTTATGTTGAAATGCATCATTCAGATAGGGTGAAACTCCAATTCGGAATTCAACAAGATATTCCTGGTCCACCTAAATGCATGGAGAGGTACCACAAGAGTACAACGAACGACCAATGAAAATTCGATAATTGGAGAGACCATAACAGACAAGAACGTCAACACTGGATAAATCGTCGTCGAACTGTTCTACAAGGAAATGTCATGGATACCGAATGTAAACCCAATAGGGAATACATGAATTGGTATAGATCTATGACTATTTTGTATCTATCACAAAATAGATACTTATGAGACCCTCGTAACCAACCAACTTCTTCAAACTTCCAAAACACCAGACAACCTTGTAACACCCAACCACAAATATTTAACACCCGTCAACAAATATTTAATACCCAACCACAAATATTTAACACCCAACAACAAACATTCAACACTCAACAATCTTTCAACCCAACACAACAACCTTATACCACAAGCCAACACTACCATCAACCTTACCTATCATTTAACCCAAACCCCTTTAACACCCAACAATAAAACCCAACCTCTTCATACACCCAATATAACCAATACTCATTCCCTCAACCTACGCCACAAGAACACAACTATCAAACGCCCCAACCACAAGTTCGTTTTTACCCCTCACAAACCTTCACCCTTAATTCATCTGAAGACCAACATCCATACACCCCCTACATGACTAACACAATGCCACCTTCAAACCTACCAAGTTGGAGTAATGAGGGAACAAGATTAAGCTATGGCAGTGCGGCGGCGATACCAACTGTGGACGATTTGAGTGATGATATGGTCGCTGAATTCATGAACCCTGGCAATGATGCAGGACCTTCTACACAGCCCCCAAACGTTGATGGTGATCGTAGAAGGTCCACCAGAAATATACACGCTCCTGCCTGTGGAACCCACCAACGCTTACGTCGACCGGGTCAAAATTAATTAAGGGTGGATAGGAATTTTAATGTACTTTTTTAATTTTATGAATAAATAAATTTTTATTTCAATCATTTATTTTATTTTATTTTATTTTATTTTATTTTATTATTCTATTTTTTATTATTATTATCTATTTCATAATTATTATTTATAATTTAATAATTATTATTTATAATTTCATAATTATTGTTTATTTTTACAGTCTTATTACATAAATAAAAATTATTTTGTTAAAGAGTGTTTATTTTAATTATTATTATTATTTTTCATAATTATTTAAATATAATACATAAATAAAAATGAATTAAAACGTAAAAACAAAAATAAAATACAGTCTGCACACTGCCACCCATTAAAAGGGTGTCACCTAAATAAATAAGGCACTTCCGCCCATTGAAAGGGCGGCACCCTTGTGTCAAAAAAACAATTTTTTTAAAACTGTGACATTATAGTATATGTGTCGAAATATATGGCATTTTAGAAATATCTTTCTAAAAAGAGGGCAGGGCAGAAAAAAATTCTCAAACAGATAGAAAAGAAGCGGTAACAACTGTTTTTTGTACTTCTCTCCATCAATGGGCCTAGAATGAATTTTGCTAATAAAGTTAGTAGGCTCGTTCGACAAGATGGGAAGATTCTCTATGTACACATTTTCAGTGAAGTCAATTTGCGTGTAGATGCTTTTGTGAAACAAAGAATCAATCTGTTAAAGAAATTTGTCATTATGATAAACGGACACGTTTTTTACAATACATTTATACATAAAAATATATATGATATTTTTTTAATTTTGATTTTAATTAAAATTATGGATATTTGAGTTTGTGGTATGTGTATTTAGATATAATTTTTAACTAGAAGTTAAAATCAATTTTGTTTTTAAATAATTAATTACTTTCACTTATGTAAATATTTAAATATAAAATAAGGAGAGTAGTTAATTTTTATTTGTTTAACTTCTATAATTTTTTAAGTAATTTGGAAAGACAATAAAGAAAAGAAAATAATTACACCTAAAAAATGTTTTTGTCTGTATATATTGCTCGAATTTTTTGTTAAATATCTTTCTTGAAGACAATGGAGATAAGCATGATAGTTTATTCAACCCTTTGAATTTTTTTCTTTTCAGCTTATGCCTTCATATTTAAAAAATGTATATATTATATTTGATTCAACCAAAATATAATGAAAAGTTTTTTAAGCTAAACTTATGAAAATGTATAATGTGGCATCCTTAGCCTTTTATTTAAAAATAAATATATATTTTAAAAACTAATGAATTTTATTTTATATTTTCAATTAAAGTTTAACGTGTCACAAATACATTACTAGATCTCATAACTAACTAATTATTTTTTCGTGCAGATGATAAAATAAGTTATGTCAATTCATACAATTTAAAATATAAAAAAGATTCAAAAATAAATCATTCCATAGCACTTTCAATTTATAAATTTTTTTTTTTACCTTATACAACTTATTTTTTCTTCATTTATTATCATATTTTCTATTTAAGATTTGCTTCTATCTATTACGAGAAGGTTAAAAGTTAAATAAAACTTATATAGTGTAGTTTAATAAAAAATATTAAACTTGAACTTTCATTAAAAATTTATATGCAATCTTTAATATTAATTCTAATTTTATATTTGGCTTTCTACAAGTCTCATGCTTTAAAACATTTATTTCTCATTGACAACGAATGAAATTTTTCTCTAAAGCGCACAAAATAGTTATATTTAAATAAAAATATATCCTAAAATTTTTAAGTTATTTCTTTTAACAAGAAAATACTTTATATTTTTTCGCTATAAGTAGGTTTTATTTGTTTTTAAATTGTAACAATCAGGTCCTTTAAGTTTTGTCTATTGTACAAATTACGACTTTATTATAACAAAATTGGTATAGAATTGCAACAAGTGTTACATGGAGGTACCAAAAATCATGTATTGCGACAAGTGTTACATGAAGGTACCAAAAGTCATGTCTTGCGACACTAACATCAAAATTAACAATGATCACCACTTCTAAGCCAAAATACACTTCAACACAATAAAAATCAAAACTAACAACATTATGACATAGACTACCATCTTCAACATCTTCAACATGTTCTTCATCATTTGCTTAAATGACACATCAACGTCGTTTGTGTCACATAATCGTTTTTGAAACGAAGTTTGTGAAAAAGGTCAATGGCGAACACATTAGTTAACATAAAAGACAAAATTGTAGCAAAAAAAAAAACATAAAGGACTGACTTGTTATAATAAAATAACTTAAAAGACTCAGGGTATATTTTTCCCTTATATTTATTATACATATGCAAATGAGGGAAATTTTGACTCAGATTATCATGTTTGTTTATGCTCTTATATTTTTTCTTTATTTTCTGTTGTAACTGTGGTATTTGGATCGAACTCTAGTGTCAACAAGGATAACTTCATGGTTCAACAGGAGTTGTGTATGATGTAGTCGAAGTCTGTTCGAGCATAATGTCAAAATACATTAATTTGTAATTTAAGTTAGTATGTCGAATTGGGTCTTACTTCTAAGGCCAATTGTTAAGTTAGCTTGTATCATAAGTTAGCTTAGTAGTCTATAAATAGATTAGTTCTCTCATGTTGTTGAGAGAGGTTAATTGTTGGTATTCACTTGTAATCTTTGAACCCTTATTGAGAAAGTGAATAGAAAAACATATTTAATCAATTCATATTCTTCCTCTTCCTTCTTCTCTCCCTTTTGTAAAACCTAATAGGGTTTCTTGTATTTGTTTAAGAAACTCAAATATTTTTCACATATTTTGATTTTTTCTTGACGACATCAATTCACAACAAACTGGTGTGGTAAGCGTGGGGAGAAGATGTCGTCAACAAGTATGAGATTGAGAAATTCACAGGTGTGAATGATTTCGGTTTGTGGTGCTTGAAGATACAAGGCCTTCTTGTTCAACAGGGTTTGCTAGAAGCACTGAAAGGATCAGAGAAGATGGATATTTCCCTATTGGTGAAGGAGAAGACAGTGATGGTTGAAAAAGCCCACAACGCCATGTATTTAGCCTTGGTGATAAGGTTCTCCGACAGGTTTCAAAGGAGAAAACTGCAGCTGGAGTGTGGACGAAACCTGAAGGTTTGTACCTGACAAAATCGTTGGTTAATCGTCTCTACCTGCAGCAAGCTTTGTATTCATTCAAGATGAGTGAAGACAAATCCCTAGCTGAGCAGCTGGATTTGTTCAACAAGTTGATTATTGATCTTGAGAATATCGAGGTCAAGATTGATGATGAAGATCGTGTTGTTGTTGTTGTGCTCTTTACCTAAGTCTCATGCTCACTTTAAAGAAACTATCTTGTATGGAAGAGAGTCGTTGACCTTTAAAGATATTCAATCTGCCTTGTACTATAAGGATTTAAACAAATGAAAGGAGCATAAGCCATCTTATGTTGAGGAAGGTTTATCCGTTAAGGGGAAATTCTTGAAGAAAGATGGTAGGTTTCAGAAGAAGAAAGGTAAAGTTTTACATAATTCTTATTGTGGTAATGCTCCTACTATTAAGTATTATCATTGTAAGAAGGAGGGTCATACAAGAAAAGTATACCCAGATCATATGAACAATCATGTTGGAAAGGATAATAGTAATGCAACCATTATGCAAGATGGTTATGAATCATCTGATGTCCTGGTGATTTCAAGCAACGACTATAGCAAGGAGTGGATTATGGATTTAGAGTGCACTTGGAACATGAATCCAAACAAAGACGTGTTTGAGGAATTATATGGTCAAGATGGTGGATCAGTGGTGCTGTGAAACAATAAAGCTTGCAAAATTGCAAGTATTGGATCTGTGAGATTCAAGCTCCATGATGAGTTAATAAAACTATTGACTGATGTTAGGTATGCACTTGATCTTAAGATGAATTTGATTTCTCTTGATGAATTCGACAATAAAGGATATGTTTTCAAAGGAGAGCAAAGTATCCTAAAGGTAATGAAATGGTCGAAAGAAGTATTGAGAGG